GATAGTAAATCCAGCCAAGATTCCGCGCCAAAGCTGCCCCGACTGCGCCAGACAGTACCAATATACAACTCGACGAGCTCTATCCATTGGTGACTCTGGATTTTTCCTAGCTTGAATCATTCGTGCAAAAATCCCAAAAACCTAGGTTTTTCTTAAACAAATTGTCGCTTATGGATGGCAAATCCAGCCAAGATACGGCGCTAAAGCTGCCCCGACCGCGCCAGACAGCAGCAATTTACAACTCGACGAGCTCTATCCATTGGTGACTCTGGATTTTTCCTAGCTTGAATCATTCGTGCAAAAATCCGAAAATCCTAGGTTTTTCCTGGAGAAATTTAGCATATGGATGGTAAATCCAGCCAAGATTCCGCACCAAACCTGCCCCGACTGCGCCAGGCAGCACCAATATACAACTCGACGAGCTCTATCCATTGGTGACTTTCGATTTTTCCTAGCTTGAATCATTCCTCGAAAAATCCCAAAATACTAGGTTTTTCCTATACAAATTTTAGCATATGGATAGTAAATCCAGCCAAGATTCCGCGCCAAAGTTGCCCCGACTGCGCCAGACAGCAAAAATGTACAACTCGACGTGCTGTATCCGTTGGTGACTTTGGTTTTTCCTAGCTTCAATCATTCCTGCAAAAATCCCAAAATCCTAGGTTTTTCCTATAGAAATTTTAGCATATGGGTAGTAAATCCAGCCAAGATTGCGCGCCAAAGTTGCCCCAACTGCGCCAGACAGCGCCAGTATACAACTCGACGAGCTCTATCCATTGGTAGCTTTGGATTTTTCCTAGCTTGAACCGTTCGTGAGAAAATCCCAAAATACTAATTTTTTTCTATGCTACTCTTATCACATGGTTAATAAACTCAGCCGACATTCTTCCACGAAGCTTCTCCAGAGAGGTCCACAATAGAACTCGAGGAGTTCTATGGATTGGTAACGTCGGATTCTCCATAGCTGAAAAGATTTGTGGAAAAATTCGAAAATAGTAAGCTCGATTTACTACTCATATGCTCCGATGTGCATAAGAAAAAACTAGCATTCTGGGATTTTTTCACGAATCGTGCGAGCTAAGGAAAATCCAAAAATACCAATCGATAGAGCTCGGCGAGCTGTATTCTGGCGCTGTCTGGCGCAGCTAGGGCAGCTTTGGCGCCGAATCTTGGCTGGATTTACCATCCATAAACTAAAATTTGTATGGGAAAAACCTAGGATTTTGGGATTTTTGCACGAATGGTTCAAGCTGGGAAAAATCGAAAGTCAGCAATGGATAGAGCTCGTCGAGTTGTATATTCGTGATGTCTGGTGCAGCTAGGACAGGTTTGGCGCCGAATCTTGGCTGGATTTACTCGAATATGAGGCTAACTTCACCTACGTATAACATTCTCGCATAAAAAGATATCCAAAGAAGTATACAAACATCAATATGTTGAAAAAATACCAAAAAACAAAATTTTGAGATGCGTTCCTGATCTCAAGAACACAACGGGGAAAATGGCACCCGTAATTAGTTAGATGTGGGTGTAATCTGTGCGCATGGATGGGAAGTGAGTGTGAATATGGGCGAGACTGAATGTGAGCTGAGAATTTGTGTGTATACGTGATTAGTTGCGTTCGGAGAGTATCCCCGGAAACTGCATTAAATGCTAGCATATGAGATATAGGAGACATAGGAGATATAGATATATAGAAGGTACAGAGATGTAGGAGACATAGGAAACAGTGATTTATTTTTTATGATTCATTTTTTCGAGTAAGGGTCGGCAAGTTGAATCAATATATCTGAATTGATTGTTATTCAAAGTCAAATACTATATAAAGATTATCTACACTAGTTAATGAATATCTCCAATATCTCTATATCTCCTATATGTCCTCCATCGATGTTTAATTGAGTTTCCGGGAAAACTCTCACAACGCATCATATGGTATAAGTGTGGGTATGCGTAAGGAGTGAGTTTTATTTTGGGCGTGTGGATTCAGTCGGATGTAAGTTGATCTTCAGTGTGGTGTGTGGATGAGGTATTGTATGCATTTGTATGGCCTGCGTGGGCTGTCTGCTGCTCTAAGGCCGGATCTGTCTGTGAATCTGGATGTATTCAATGTTCACATGGGTAACGATGGGATACTAGCCTTGGTGTCTGAATATGGATGTCAGCTGAGTGAGATATGAGTGTAAGTTTGGATTATGAGAGTAGATATAGATATTGGGTGTCCGCATAGGTGGAGAGTGTGTAACTTATGGATATGAGTGCACTGTAAAAAAATGAGTGGAAAATAATAAACGCTTGCTTTCGCTCATGACCACTAGATAACCTATTTGTTAGGTTTATAATGGTAATCTATCATTTCATAAACCATTTTTCTTCATCAACCTTGACAACGGTTTCTTATACGTTGCAAATTGATAATCTCTTGTACTATTTTTATTCTTTGTAAGCCTTTTTATAGTATATGAATGGGATAAACCCTTAGGTCAAGGATTTACTTTTCCACAGTTTTATGTAAAACGCGCAGTGATAAAGCCTTCGCTCGACGATTTATTCCATTCATATACTAAAAAGCAGTTTATCAAGAATAAAAGTAGTACAAGAATTTATGAATTTGCAACGCATAAAAGACCCTTGCGAATGTTGGTGAAAAACATGGTTTATGAAGCGATAGATTACGTTCATAAACCTAAAAACGGGTTTATCTAATGGTAATAAACGGATAGCAAGCGTTTATTATTCTCCACTCATTTTTAAAAGTATGTCAATTGGTATATGTAGTTTTGTGGTTTTAGATTTGTAGGTATATGTGAGGAAGGAATCTTAGTTTGCAGGTATATATGTGGTTGAGTGTAAATTGAGTTCGTGCGTAGTACGTGGATGGTAGATAGTGTCCATCAGTGTGGGTCGTGTGTTGATCTAGAGCTGAGCTTATCTGTGAATTTGAGTGTATTCGGTGTTAACATGGGTAATGGTGGGATGCGAGCGTTGATGTGTAGATGTGGACCTGAGTGTATGCTATGGATGTGGCTATGGGTGTGACGTGGCGATATAGGTAGGGAGCGTGCAACTATGAGGGTGTGTATTTGTGTTTATCGGTAAGGAGCGAGTGTTAACTTGTGTGTTGGTGTGATTGGACGTGAATTGAAGTGGAGTGTGGAGTGTAGGTGCTGATATTAATGTACAGCTTCAGTTTACTGATGTAGATATGTCTGGTACATCCGTAGACGTCACTGTTTCAGTATTTTCAGTGATGAACTGTTTAGTGTATCAGTATAATCATAGCTCCAGTATTCATAGCACCAGTGATGGTGGTGTCAGCATTTCTGTATTTACACCAACACTGCACATTCCTACGTGCGAAATTTTGCTTGCGTCGACGTGAAGATAAAAATAGGATGCCGGTATAAGTGCGAAAGGAGTCATATGACGAGTGTGTGCCGATAACAATGGGTATGATCTTGTTCTTGTTTCTTATCGGAATGTTTCTGTTGGCGCAGATGTTTGGGATGTGGATAAGGTGAAGGAACGGATCTGGGTGATGGTGACTTGGTTCTGGATGTAGGATGTGAAGCGGGATCTGTGTGTGGGCGTAAAGGAAGAGGAGAACTTGTGTAGCCCTGATGGAAATCTCGACCCAGATTTCGAATAAAAACGAACGGTACAAATGATATTCTGCCAGTACCCTTAGAGCAAACTTTCACAACTGGCTAGTTTAGCAGTGAAGAGTAACAAAATTTTGAATTTTCGAAAGTGAAGCACTGGCTTTTCGAGGAAGTTGGGGTTTTGGAGCTCAACAGGCTGTAATTTTATATTTTACTGATAAAGCAGGGATTTCAACATTTGAAATGAATGGTTTTGAAAACTTACTTTGTATGCATCAATGTAGTATCTTTCATACAGTTTTATCTGACTTCATATTAGTTTCTTAGGTGAATACTAAAAATTATCAACGAAAAACTTCATATGTAACATGCATAATTGCCTATGGATGGAATTTCTTTAGTAAAACCGAAGACATGGCTTGATACCGGCAGCGTTTACGCTATCTGTATAAAAGACAAATTTTGAATAAACTACTAGTAGTAACCAGAAAATCGGTCTATTTGAGGAAACTGTATCGAAGATATTTCAACTTTGTATTCTAGTGTTATTTCGTGGCTCATCCTTTAAAATAAGAATATTTGACTAACGGTCTTATGATTAAACGAATTGCGCTTGAATCTTATGAAATATCTCAGCTCTTCAACAAAATTTTGTCCGCGGTTTTGTGGAACGCACATATATTTTCGAAGAAAATGAGACGTGTCGCATATCCAGGCAATCGAAGATTCTAGGGAAGTGCAAGGAGATGCGGAAGATGCCAAACTATCTATTAACAGATGATTATATTATGTATGTGGCACTATGTGTTCGTGTTTTCCCCCTCACCCACACTTGTGTTGTTTGACTATGCGTGTTTCGCCCTTTCAGTCCCTAGGGAGATATGCTTAGAGACCTCGCATCCCCTGAGGTGCCCTAGGCTAAAGGTAAAACGGAATTTTATCAGGAGATGCTGGGAGATACCGATACAGGAGATGCCACATCTGCCACGAAGTGCTTGAAGATGCTGCATCACCGGACAAATTTTTTTTATTTTTAGCCTAGAACCCCTTCTGGAGATGCGGTATCTACAGGAAATGCGGCATTTCTCAAATCTCCGTACACTTTTTCAACATCCTCGATTTTCTGGATACGTGACACTGCTGAGTACGTGCGCTTTAGGGGCAGACGAATGACGAGTCATAAGCTGTCGGAAAAATAAAAGGTTTGAATACAACCTATTCCTTATGTTCACATCAAAAGCTTCGTAGCTTTTATTATGAAACACGCTCTGAAAGCAGTGTTGAAGCATATAGAGTAGAAACTTGCACCCATCCACCAGCACTCCCACAATCATGACGGACGAGTTTCAGAAGCATCATAGACCGTGATAGACGTTATTGATATACGATCAAAACCGCATGTCAGTAAGATATCATTATTATAGATGAATTGCTTCTTTACTGTAGTGCTAGAGAATAAGGCAAATGGTTGTGAGCTATTGTTTCGCAAGATAGTTGAAAAGAAACATATTTCAAGTAATTATCAACAGCAATTACATCATGTTTCAGATTTTAAGTTTGACCAAAACACACTGTAAAAAATAGGCGTAGGATAATAAACTCTTTAAAAGGTTTTATTAACCTCGTCAATCCTTTCATAAAAACTTTTTGGAGTTTATTAGTATCATGTACCCTTTTAGTTCATAAACCCTAGGACGGGTATTTTATACGTTGCACTTTCATAAATCATTTAGGGTACATAAGCAATAATATATCCTAATGAGTTATGAAATTGCAACGTATAAAATACCCGTCCTAGAGTTTATGAACTAAAAGGATATATGATATTAATAAACCCCAAAAAGGTTTTATGAAAGGATTTATGAGGTTAATAAACCATTTTGAAGGGTTTATTATTATACGCCTATTTTCACAGTGTAGTCTAGGTCGAGGCATCGGAATCTGTAATCAGTTTCACAGCATGTTGACTTTGATTTTTTTCACTGAAAAATATTTTTTAGTAAAACAACGATTATTTTTCGAAAATAAATCCTTTTTTATTAAAAACATGTTTTTTCGAGGGGAAAACAGCGGGCTTCAGACTTCAAGATTTCAAAAGACTTCAAGAGACTTCGAGACTGAATGAGCGGTTGAGAAGCCTTAGAAATGGCATCAGATATTTGTACCACACAAAACACACCATCTATTAGATACTGATAAAAAAGAATTTCTTTTCATAATTCTATATAAGACTATACATATGTATAAACTTAATAATAAAAGAAAATGTCGCTTAAATTTTGTTGCAAGATCAGTAGATTTTCAACATATTTCTTCTTTTTTCGTCATCACCAAACTAAATTCAATTGCAATCCATCATCAATATAGAACTTATTCATAATCATTATTCATAATTTCACCATTTGTTTCAAAGATAAATACTCATGGTAATTTGAAATGTAAATTTGAGCTGCATTTAATCACGCAAAAGAGTTAGTTAGTAATTTGAATATATTGATTTCGTTAAAGAAACACGCTGCTTTTGAATTACACGATTTAAGTAAAAATATATTTGACAGTGTTAGATTGAAGATTGAATCAGATAATTATTCAATAGCTGATTCAGATTCACCATCAAATTCTGATTCCGATTATGGTGATGAAACAATGGAAGCTAATGAAGTCTATAATGATTTGTTCAACTTGAATGAAGAAGATCAAGATGTAACAAAAATACAAGGTGTTGATGAGATTAAAGTTAATAGGATGAATTTTAATGGTATACGTATATTCGAATCCAGCATTGAAGAGTTCTTATTTTCAGGTGCAAATAAATAACAAGCGTAAATTTATACAAAAACAAACAGCGTGTTGGTTATTGACTGATAAAGTTAGCCGTCTATCGGCTGACAGACTTTCACAAGTGGAAGAAGCAAACAAAAAAGATTAAAATTCTTCATAACATTGATATCTAATTGAGAGAACATTTTCTATGGAAATGCATAACTGTATTAAATAGAATTGAACTATTAATTATGCTTTTTTTTAAGTTCAAGCAAACATGAACTTTTTCAGTAGACTAATAACACAATAATAGTTCATAGTTCTGCTGAAATAAGACCATCAAAAACCTTACGATTTCATTATTTCTTATGAATTTTGTATACTAAGTGTACGTCGAAAAATCCAGAAGACTTCATGAGACTTCATGTGACTTCATAAGATTTCAGGAGACTTCATGGGATTTCATAAGATTTTAAGAGACTTCTGAGATTTCATTGGACTTCGAAAGCGAAGTCTCAGTTGTCTCCCCCGCGTATTTTTTTTACTAAAAAGATGTTTTTCACTGAAAAAAATCAAAGTGAAAGCTGTAAGAAACCAATTACAGACTCAGATTCCTGGATTTCAATTACCTTTAGTTAAACTTTATAAAAGAATCGCTATTTTTAGAAAATTATCTTGCGTTCGATGAACT